ATACCTCTGTCAACCAGAAGTTGGGAAGAAATAGGAAGGTAGTAGGCTTAATGCCTTGCTTACAAACTTACAAGATCTTGAAAAGTATATGATGGAAATCAGAATGCAGTGCCAGATATGGACCTTTGGTTGTCTTCTGCACAGATTGGACTTTAGAATGCAAGAGCTGGATTTGCTAGACGATTACAAGACCTTATCCCACACAATAGCTTACTAAGTGTTTCTGGGAAGCCCATTACATTCCTGTGTTTTCAAAGCAGTGTTAGATGGCATCTCAGTAAAGCAATATGGGGAAAGTGTACAGCCTGTCTCCGTTCACCCACTTTGCTTGTTCATAGCACAAAAGATATCCACATATCTTTAGATCGACACTCAGGCTGCATTGTTCAACTGCCTTGCTGTAATGTAGCTTCATCACCTAAGTACCAGTATCCATATACTAGATATGGATTGTATTCATATGGAGAGAATCTACTCACCAAGGCTTATTTGGAAACTGGAATCCTATGACTTCTACAAATACTACTACATGTAGGATCTTCTGCTTGATCACTGATGGAGTGTAGGACTCCCTCAATTCTCCTCTGTTTCTTTAGTCATGGTGAGAACCTTTATATGATCAACACACAAAAGGAGCTTCTTTGATATCCTTTTATGACCAATTGGTTGATGCTGTTATTATTGGTTTTAGTGTTGTGTAGCCCCAGGTTGTTCCAACTGATGGTAACCCTAAACAGACAAGGTGTTCATGGGGATTTCCCATTATTTGTCTCTGAAGCTAAGAGAGTGTGACTTGGCCAAGGTCACCCAGTACTTTTCCATGCCCACCCCAGTTTCTCAAGATTCTGGTGCAGCACTCAAGTCGTCAAACCACACTGGCACTGTCAACATAATTAACACAGAAACGATGCTTCTTCATCTAAGTTTAATGTTTTTTTAAATGGAAAAATCTGTTCCTTTAATCCTGACAGTTATCAAAACCTTGACTCATCCTGCCTGCTCTGATATATATGTGTTTTTTTTCTTTCATGGTTGAGCTTGCTGGGTGATGTGGGATGGTTAGGAGAAAAAGATCGTGAGCTACCTGAATATTCTGAACAAAAGAGCTCCATGACTCACACAAAGGTAGTGAGAGCTATTCTGTGTGACACACTTCTCCTTGGAAAATATATTGACTTTCTGATTCAGTTGCTGTTGTTTTAAATTAATTTGGGGAGATTTAACATCATTTCTTTTTTAAAAAACAGTCTAGAAACTGCAAATGCAAGTCTAATCCTGTGTTTTAGTAGCTTCCATTCTCAGCCTTCTCTCTTCTGTCCCAGTCTCGGGATTCTATACTATTTCCTCTTCATCTTTTACACAAAGTCTAAGGGTTGGTTATTCCATTAGATGTAGAGAGGAATTTGTCTCAGGAAGCAGATTTTGAGCATCAGAAAAGAGCAACACTTTCTTAAATATGTAGCTGAAACTTTAGAAATACAACAGGAAGAAAGGAAAGTATTCAGGGGCTAAAATGACCATTGCTGTAGGGTACAATGCACCTTGTCTTTGGGAGTAGGTTTAGGAAGGTTTCCTATTTGCTGCAATGTCTCAGATCTCTTGGATTGGCACTTCCATGCTATGTAAGAGAGCAGTTGCAAAAAACGAATCTGTCCATTCTTTCTCTGGATTTAATGTGTTCATTGCCAGTTTAGGAGGCACTTCTAATTTTCTAGTGATTTGAGAATTCCTTGTTTAAACACCTGTTTAAGAAAGTGAGAGGAAAACAGATTTCAGGAGATTCTACAGGTGGCAGCCATGGGATTTAAAGTGGATCCACACCCCATACCTACTCTTTAAATTCAGTGTGATAATGCACTCAGATGCGGATCTGGATTCAAAACTAATGAAAAAAATTAGCAGTGGTCTTTCTTAATTCCCTATACATCCAATATACAATTTTCTGTTTTGAGCCTTAAGCAAGTCTGTCTTGCACAGGTCAAATCAACATCTTTCTATTTTCTGCTTTGGCATTTATACTGCAAATGACCAAACTGCCCAGTGTACACTTTACATTTGAATGGCAAATGAAACACTTTGGCAAAAGTATTGCTTGAAATAGTTTCTCATCTCCATGCCTGATATGGACTTCATTTGAGAAGCCAGGTCTGAATCAATGAGTTGCAAAGCAGGAATAATGCTTAGGGTCCTTCCACACTGACCCATAACCCAGGATCTGATTCCAGATTATCTGTTTATCCCAGATTATCTGGCAGTGGGGACTCATATATTCCAGTTTAAAGTGGATAATCTGGGATTGGATCCTGGGATAAAGCACGGTATGGAAGGGCCCTTTGTCTTTCTTTTGCCCTTCTTTTTTCTCTGAGACATCTTCATCTGCTTTCCTTTAAAGAAGGAAGAAAATGCACCAAAAGTTGATGTATAGGTGCATATGTGTGTATGTGTGTGTATGTGCACATGACCAGAGAGAAAAAAAATTAAAGGCCCACTTCTCACCCACAACTGTTCTGCTTCAAATCTGCCCTTTATTCTATTTTGCATCTGTATGTGGAGTAAAAACTCTATTGTTTTATTTTAAAAACAATTAAATATATCCTTAGAAATATTAATTCGTACACTCCAGTTGGGCAGCAGGTGAAGGACTACCTTGTTATCATGAAGATCCTTTCTGTGCAGATTTTTGGATTATGACTCCCAGAATCCCAGTGTCAATGGGACCAATAGTTTTGGGAGTTCAGTTTGCTGATTAATTCTAACTAATTTTATTTGGGCGTAATTTTTCTGGCAGTGCTTAAATATAATTTTCATCACATGTTAGTCATGTACATTGGTTTTTAAACATAAACAAGTATTATATTGTAGAAATATGTAAGCCTGAATGTGTGGGACATATCTACAGTATAAGAACTCTCTTGTGCCTTGCAGGTGACAGTATTTTCATACTGGATGTTTTGTTGATACACGACAGGTTTTTTTCTTGGTTCATAAGAACACACTACATGGGACTAGTACTTGTGGTTTCACTTACCTGCAACTGATAAAACATATGCCCCCTCAAGGAATTTTCTAGGTTCCCCAGGGTGATTCTATGAGAATATTTGGTGGGAATCATTCCTTTCAATAGTATTCACTATTATTCAGAGTTTCCTGTTTCCATGGTAAGTTCAGCAACATATCTCCTATGAACAAACAGGTTATTGTGTATAAAAATTATTTGTTTATCGAGTCATCAGCAACCAGTCAATTATAAATTATAAACTGTAAGAACGTTTATGGTTGCATACAGAGATATGTGTATGATATCTCTACAAAGGTAGGCTTTTGAAGTGAGTTGTTGGAATTGTATTGTGTACATAAGTGATATGCTATTTGAAACTATGTTTTAACTATGCATTAAGGACTTCTTATGGTTTTTAGTAATGTGTTGCTAACAATAGCTTTGGAAAGATGAATCCTAAACATAGTAACAAATGTTAAAATGGAGTGAAATATCACAATCAATAACACATTACTAAAAACCATAAGAATTCTCCTATCTATCAGGAGAATTCATATTCCCCTTTTCCCCCCAAAGGGGAATATGAATTCTCTTGATAGATAGATTTGAATTAGTGGTTGAGTTGAGAGATTCTTATTTCATTTTGGAACTTTAGACTTATTGTATGTTAAATATAGTATGTCAGATTGCCATGCCTTCAATTATACTTGTATAGAAACCCATATAACAGCATTTAAGCTGTGGATGGAATCCTAACAGGACATTTAAAATTACCGTGTTTGTGGCTAATTTATTTTTCACTGGGCCATGACATTTCCAGCCCTGAAGTTAGCTGCTATGTGATATGTGACGCATATGAACTTGTTGACACTTCCTGGCCTACAGCCTAATTTGTCAGATACGCAAACAAATCAGGAGGTTGTCTTAAGGCAGTGGTTTCCAATGTTGAGTCCTCAAATGTTAGACTGCAATTTCCACATGCCACAGCCAATTTGACCAATGGACAGGAATTCCTTGAGTCATAGTCTAACAAGAAGTTTGGGGATCACTGGTATGCTTCAAAAAGCTATAGTCTTTATTCAACAGATTGTGTCTTTGCTATTTGCCTGAAAAATATTTGTACTGTAGTTAAAAGACGCAGTAAGCTCTCCACATTCACTGAGTTAAGGGGTACAGGAAAAGGAAAAATCATGACTAACCAATGTTTGCTCTTTCTTAAGATGAGAGAACACTTTTCTAGTTATGTCTAGATCTTCCAGCAGGAGTCAATGATCAACTTCTGTTGAAAGTTGAACATAGACTCACATTGGAAGACTCCAGAGATGTTCTCTCTAGAAAGCTCTAGGTCCTTCAGCATGACTGGAAGAAGTTGGCATAGAGTTGCACTGGAGAACCTAGATATTCCTAGAGGTAATATTTTAAATCAAATGCATGAATAATCAAATACTCAAAAGTAAAGAAAATGCAAATGTGGAGGTATGACCGCATTATCTAAATCAGTAGTTCCCAGCCTTTGGACTTCCAGGTGTTTTGGACTTCAGTTCCCACAGTTCCTAACAGCTGGTAAACTGGCTGAGATTTGGGAGTTGAAGTCCAAAACAACTGGAGGACCAAAGGTTGGGAACCACTGATCTAAATAAATGCTATTCAAAGTGGTGTTCCATGCTGATGCTGATCCATAATCCACCAAATCCTGGTCCCTGGAACATTTCTAGAAAATATATGAACAATTACAGGGAAAATATGGTGCCTATCACTGTCACAGGGGGGGTGGTGCCAGAAGGAATTCCCAGTCATCTACATCAGGTAGTTTGAGAATCACTATTCTAAATTAACATCACATTTATTAATTAACTGATGAAAGAACTCATGGATCATACATTTTCTCAGATTGAGAATTCATGTAATGAAATCTAATTATTATTATTTTGTTGCTAATAATTATTATTTTGGCAAGACCAATGTATTGTGCGAATGAGACTTTCATGTTTTATCCTTTCAGACATGATCCTTGATCAACAAATAAGCTCAGGACAGCTCAGTGAAGATGTCCGACAGAGAGTACATGAGGCTTTGCTCAGACAGCACCATCATCAGAATCAGAAGAAGCTGAGCAATAGGATCCCAATTGTTCGATCTTTTGCTGATATTGGCAAGAAGCAGTCGGAACCACATTCCATGGACAAAAATGGTAAAGTGTCAAGTTACCTTCGCCTCAATTACTAGTCATATCCTGCAAACTATGTCAAATCTAACATATGAGATTACACCCTTATCTTCAAAACAGCACAAAAGGTAGCTGGCATCCCAGTCTTAAATGACATTATGTCACTATCCTTGCAGAGTATTAAATGCTTTGTAGTGTACCAGAAAGCGTTCATCTTAATTATCCCATTGAGACCATAGGGAGAAAAGTTGTGATCCCTTCATTTTGAGAAGTTACAGCTATGATATGTGGACATGGGACTTATTTGGCAGTAGACTGATGGGATGGGGTGGGGGTCTTGGTGTGATAAGAGTGGGAATCTTTTTTGCCCTCCAAATATTTTGCACTTTAGTCCACAGAAACCTTACCCATAAGGAATTATAAGAGTTATAGTCCCAAATATCTGGAAGACCAAATGTTTCTTACCCCTGGGGAATAAAAAGCAAGATTAACAGAAGACAATGCAAGCACTTTTTTGCAGATGTTCAGGGCTGTGAGTTAGCTTATTGGATTTCTTCACTTTTAACGGTTTTTCTATTGCTTTCAGAAGTATGAATAAATTGGATGTACTTATGTGTATTGATGTTACATCACCCTCATAGGATCTTAATTTTTTTCAGTTATAAATCACTTTTTTTGTTTTTGAGCTGAAGAGAAGGAATATATTAAAGGAAGTAAAATTAATATATTGTGAATTGCTGTGAGGCTTCCAGTCTGTATGGCCATGTTCCAGAAACATTCTCTCCTGACGTTTCAGCCACATCTGCGGCAGGCATCTTCAGAGGTTGTGGTCCGTTGGAAACTAGGCAAGTGAGGTTTATATATCTGTGGAATGTCAAGGGTAGGAGAAAGACCTCTTGTCTGCTTGAGGCAAGTGTGAGTGTTACAATTGGCTACCTTGATTAGCATTTAATGGCCTTGCAGCTTCAAAGGTTGGCTGCTTCCTTCCTGGGGTTGTCTTAGAAGGGTTAGTTCAGAGGAGGCTGAGAAGGTGTGGTTTGCTCAAAGTCAAATTGTGGGTTTCCGTGGTAAAGTGAGGATTCAGATCCTGGTCTCTGGAGTCGTGATCCAAATCTCAAATCTGCTTGTCATTATATAATAAGACAATGACAAGTTGAAACCAGTGAGCATATTCTAGGGGTAAACAGTTTGGGCATTGTGTGTTAAATGTCCTAAGTTGTGGTCTTCAGGCTTCTTAAAGCCTTATGAAGCTGAACATGTACCTCTTTTAATCAGTGAGAATTGCACTTGAGAAATTGCATTTTATCTTAGTTTCAAAAGCTACAACAAGCTCTTGTTAGAATCATAATAAATGTTAGTTGGCTTTAATGCAATTCCATATTGTAATGAGCTTAATGTCCAGATTTTCATTAGAGAAGAGCAAATATTTCCATTGTCAGAACGAAGACATTTGTATGTACTTCCCCGGGGAATTATCTGGGAGTTCACGAGAAGATCAGATACATGGAAGAGATGCTGCAGGTTATAGTCTTGCTGGGGCAGTGCTATGAGCTGTTTGGATGGCATACTCTAGAGTTTTGAACACTTTCCAGCAATGCAAAGCAATTATTGTGGCTATTCAGATGGCATCAAATATGGCAGTGAATGTGGTGCTTCTGGGATGAGTCTTCCTTAAAGGAAAAAAATTCAGTTCAGATAAATGATTTTTCTGAAATGGTCAGTTCTCATCTCACTATACTTCTTAAAGATTACTTGACTGAAATATTTTTTATGCAGATTGAGCATCTCTTATCCAGAATTCTGAAATCCTAGATATTCTAAAATCCAAAATTGTCCATATTGCTGCTGAGATAGTGACACCTTTACCTTCTAATGATTTAATGTACACAAACTTTATTTCATGCACAAAAATACTTAAAATATTGTATAAGATTTCCTGCATGCTATATGTATAAGGTATATACAAAACATACATTAGTTTTGTGTTTAGAGTTTGTTCCCTTCTCCAAGGCATCTTGTTATATATTTGTAAGCAAATACAGGTATTCCAAAATTTGAGACATCTGAAATCCAAAACATGCCTGGTCACAAACATTTTGGATAAGGGATACCCAACCATTATTGAGTTGTGAAACCTTGTTTGGACTTTACTACTTCAGATTGCAGAGAGATGGCTTGAATCATTATGTCTGTCCATAGAAAATAATGTAAAGAAAATTACATATCAGGGCGAAAGACTCTAGCTTTGCTCTTGACATAGTAGTTTTCTCTATGCAGAGGATCATGTGACCTGCTACAGGAGTCCGTACAGTTGAGCCACAGGCTTACGGTGTTGATGAGAATCTATAAGGATTAAAAACAATCAGAAGCACATTCTTTCCTAAATTAGTGTAAAACCATAGTGAGTATTTCCCTTCAAGGCATGAGATGCCTTCTCAGCAGTGGCATGGCCAGTATTACATCTTCTATGAAATGCCAAATGAAGCATAACAGCACACCCATCTCTGTTCATGTTTTATCACCTGTGAGAACTTCTCTTATTCAGCCTTCATTCATTTTATTTACTTGTAAATGACTGGGAGTACACGCAGACTACTTTTCTTTCTAAGTGAACGGTGAGACCCATGCTATTTTCTTTAAATAAGTGACTTATATATATCATTGAAATAATATTTGTTGTGGTAGACCAATTGTTGTAACACAGCAATAGAGACACGGTCTACAATAACTACTGCTAGGCTGTCAAATATGTGAATTAGCAGAATGCTTTTGAGCATGTTCAGAGATCCATTTAGAAGCCATGACCTATTAAGAATAAACACCAAGCCTTTCTGGTCGTGATGTGTGATGGAAATTCTGAAAAGTTTCTTCTTAGAATTTTCACCTGTTTGAGTTTAATTTATGTAGTTATGTATAACCAGGGCAAAATATACCCTTTGTCCTTTGATATTCATATTCTTCATTCCTGGAACATTTAAGGCTCCTTCGGACTACAGGATCTGACAATCTTTGCAAAATCTGACAAAGTTGGGGCTTCTTTTCTCTCTGTGAAGTGAGCCATACCTGTTGACCCTTTTTGTTTTTGATGTTCAGCCATCCTTTATAGTTTTACTGCTTCTGTACAAAAAAAAATGTGATCAACCCACAATCTTGAAATAAAGGTCATGTGACTCTCGATCATTCCCATCTCATGGCAAACCTTTCCTTCTCCTTATGTTCTTGTGTCCATGAGTAAACTGTGTACATAATCTAATCTCTACTGTTGTGCCAGACACATCTTCATATTCCTTTATTTTGCTCTGTCTTTGTTGTTATCTGTCTCTAACAGGCTCATCTCATCTCTGTACCTCTCTCATCTCCTAACCTTTTGGGTTCTCTATGCTCCTTGAAAGTCCAGAGGTAGTGTACTACAAACCTATCTTGCATGACCTTTAGGCCAATTCAAATATTCATTCATATCTTCACATCAGTTTCTTCCAACATGGCAATTTTCATTAGTAACCTGGTCAATCACTTTCAACAAAATTTCAAAATGTCATACATGGGCTCTTTCCTCACATGCAGGCAGACACATTCATCTACTTAAAGTTTTACCACATTTCTGCTCTGAATAGAGATGTCATAGTTGTGGTGGGCTGATTTCCTTTGTGACTTAAAATACATGCAAGATGGGCATCCCTTATCCAGAATTCCAGAAACTGAAATACTTCCAAAATCCAAAATAGTCCACATGGGTGGCTGAGATAGTACCACCTTTGCTATTATTAAAAATACTGTGCATTAAATCACATTCAGGCTATGTGTACAAGGTGTATATGAAACATAAATGAATGTAGTGTTTAGACTTGGGTCCCATCTCCAAAATATTGCATTATATATGTATTTCAAAATCCCTCCCCCCAAATCCAAAACACTTCTGTTCCCAGATGTTTTGGATAAGGGATACTCAACCTGTATTTGAAAGGAATAGTTTTAGTTTAAATAAATGCCAGGCTGGTTCATCTAGTTTAATACTCCACAGAATTGTGTGGATTTTTTGCTCTTTTTAATATTGTGACTTTCCCCACAGACCCCTGGGGTTGGTGTTTTATTGAATGTACAAGTGACCCCTGGGGTTATTTCCAGGCCTTCCATGGATACTTAAATCAATGGGTGCTCAAGTCTCATCATATACAATGGTTTAGTAAAATGATACCCCTTATATAAAATAGCAAAATCAGGGTTTTCTTTTGGACTTGTTTTTATATTTCAAGTTGTGGATGGTAGAATCTGTGGATATAAATCTCCCCCCACCTGTCCATGTAGATCTTCTGCTCGGTGGTAAAGCATGGCAATTGAGCAAGTGTCAATCCTTAACACACTGAATGGGAAGTAAATTCTATTTGATGAAATGAGATTCTCTCCTCCATAGAGTTGAAACATATATAAGTATTCCTTTTAATAGTCATCAGCTGAATGTCCTTGGAAAGCACATTTTCTGCAGCAGTACTTAACCACCTTTAAGTTCATGATGGCAATGTAAACACAAGTTGAGTTCTGCAGTCTGATGAAACAGTAAACAACTTTTTCAAACTGTATTATGTAGTCTTTACAGGTCCACTCAGGCTGTGTTCTCAGTACTCATTGGATTCTTTCACTTGCTTTTAAGCTCCCACCCATAGATGTTTTCAGTAGTAATAATACATTGATCTGCCCTAAAAGCAAAGGTTTAATAATTTGCCCTGGGAACATAATATGATTTTATAATAATAATAATAATAATAATAATAATAATAATAATAATAATAATAATCTTTATTTATACCCTGCCACCATCTCCCCCAACGGGGACTCGAAGTGGCTTACATGGTGCCAAGCCCGAACAACAAATTACAATACAAAAAAATTACAAGATTACAGTAAAATAAAGAACATAAACTTAAAGTATAGAACATCAAAGCATATAAACAATATACATAGAACATAAGAACCAAATATAAGGATAAAGAGCGGGCAGCATGTACATAAAAATGATTTAAAAACAACCGGGTGAGATAAAGGGGTAAAACTAATTGTAAGGAGGACTCATGGAGAGACGGGGTAATATTTTTTATTTATGCTTTGCTGTTGATTACATGTTTCATGTGGATAGAATATGAAATATGTCTGGTTTAAAATACATCTTCTATCAAATGTTTTCATTGCAACAATACAGAGAATTGTTAGTATTCTGTAATAACCATTTTTTCCAGCAGGTCAGCTTGTTTCTCCACAGTCAGCACCAAACATTGAAACCAAAAATGATGTGAGCAGAGAAAACAGCACTGTTGACTTCAGCAAGGTATTTTTTTTACTAATTGTATGAATATTTGGGTGGCAAAATATACTTTTGGTTATGTAATGAAATGCATGCATCATTTCACTGTTATGAGTTGTTACTGCTCACTACCTCATACTACATATAGTTCACCTACAATAAAGGGCTGTGGGGAGGGGGTTACATTAAATGTTTAAAAGTAAAAATTTGGTTCATTTCATTCCATATCACTGTGAACACATCATAAAACTTTAGAAGAGAGTGTAAAAATAGTTAGCTTCTGAGTTAGAGTTTTTGAGGGCTAGTCAGTGATATCAGAATACTCTCAAGCAATTTCGTTCTCTGAAAATGGGACATGGGAATGAAAAGTGACATGTGTCTAGGAAAGAATAGAACTTGGACATCTTTCCACATTTTCCCCTTTTCCGCAGGTGTAGCTGAAGCCACAAAATAAGAATTACAAGTCCTTCAGATGTGCTTGAAAGATAGCTTCTAGAATTTCTTGTCCCGGCTATGAAGACTGTTGAAAGCTATGGTCTAACACCATCTGGAGGGGTATACCTATTATAAATGATTAAAAGAGACTGGTGCCTTTCCAGGAACTAAAGATCTAGATAGCCTCATTAAACCCTAGAATTCAGTAGTTTCTTTGGACAAGGATCCAACAAGTAGCCTGAGCACAAAGCCCTTCTCTTATATACGCACTGGTGTTAGAAACATTTGTGAGTGCTCATCTTTACAGGAGAAGACAGAAGAAATATCAGTTTGGAGAAAAAACTCAGTGCTGGCTAGACATCCAAAGGTGAAACATCATCCCACAATATAGTTTCTTAGGAGGTCTCCAGGAATAAAGCTCCCTGAGCCCAGATGAAGTCTACCTTCTATCCAAGAGCATTTTAATCTCTGTTCAGGTACAGACTGAAGTTGAGAAAATAGGCTGGATCCCTTTGAAAAAAGGTTATGGCAGTGGGGAGATTGGGATAACCAGCCCCAAAGAGGTCAGCCTCCTGGTCTAGTTTGTGTAGAAGGAATATGAAGGCATCTATGCTTAGTTTCCAGCTCCAGCAACGCATGGTGCTATCCAAGGTGCTTTCTATGCTATCTTGGTTCCTCCAGTCTTGGAAAATTTGCCCAACAACACAATACAATAAATGAAATCAAAACACAAACAACAACATAATAAAATTACATAAAACATAGGAATACAACAAACAATATAAAATTGCAATAAAATAATTCATAAGACAGTAACAGTGAGCAGGCTGCATGTACAGAATAAAATACTAAAGCTAAAAACACGGGGTAAGATACAGATGGAACAGATTATTTGTGAGGGAGAAACCACTGACTATCATGAGGAGACACTGCTAGTCCACATAAATAGTGATGGGCTCAATAGACCAGATGTCTTTCTTCATATAAGACAGCTCCCTATATTCCTAACTCTCAAAAAGGTCACAGTACTTTCCTGAGATTAATATCTATCCTCACTGTAGTTAGGGCTAGTTAGGCAAAGTTGACTTCATCATGTTTATATTCTATCTCCCTTCCCATTCTTTAGATAGCCTTTTTCCCAAGCTATTTTGAATCATCCTGATGAATTTTTAGATGAAAAGTCTTTCAGTAAATTCAATCTCCATTCCCAATGTTTAGTCCTAGATGAGCCCAATGACCCATGTTACATTTACAGAGGCAGAAATAGCTTGTGAAATGTGAAAGAGTGATCTGATGGTCTTATAATTCAAATAGCCCTAATTCATGGCACTTCGTTGGGGCAGGGTCATTGCCTTTAGGGACAATAGACTATATCTGTTTTTTTAATCCTGAAAGTGCTATGTATAAGCCTTCAAATTTATTTATTTTGTGTTTGCCCAAAAACTAATTGACAGCGAAATAACATTAAGAACAGATTTTTGACCATGTTCTGAATCCCAGCATTTGTGCCATGCTATAATAATTAATTGCTCATTGCAAAGGCATATAACAGCATGGCAGAGAAATTAATTGAAGAAAAGGGTGGCAGTTTAGCATTTGACTTACTGAGAATATCTGCAATTTATTGCAGAATATCCTTGGAATGAAAATTCTCCAAGGGGTGCTGCTAAAGCAAGTTTGCACTAGATGCAGGTTTGATAGTAATGGCAGTTGACCTCAGCTGAGCCTGGTTGGGTCAAAGGTATGAGCAGGGATATTTTTAACCAGAATTCTCTTCTAAGGGAATTGATGCAAGCAGTGCTTTGAATCCGTGGTTGAATGTGACATCCAGTCAGTGAGTGTAACTGAGCCCGAACTAGTTATATGCTTGCTCCATCTGGTGCCAGACAGAATATGAGAAGCAGCATTTTGTACCAGCTGAAGTCTGTTAATTGTGCGTGCAGGGACTAGGAGACCAACAAAAAGGGCATAACAATAGTCTATTTGGGATGAAACAAAGACATGAAAAAGGACATCCGCATCAAGAGGAGAGAGGAGAGGTGAGGACCTAATCTATTTTTCTACAGTGATTGCAAGCAGGGTCTATTTTGAAATGTCAGCACAAGTTGAAAACCATGTTCTCTAGCTATAGCAGGGAAAGTCTTCAGAGCAACCTTCCTTGAGTGGGTTAGACTACCTGCTAATATCCCTTGGGGTTAAATCATCTGGACATTAACAGTTGGAGGAAGTCTGCTCCAGATGTATGTACACATGTTTTACATTAAAGAAATAGCCTCACAAGCCTTCGTGTATTTTTAAGGATGCCACCAAACATTTCAAGCACATGCAAAAAAAGAAAAGGGAAATAACTCAGAGTAAAATGACACATAAAAACACCCTGGAGAAATACACATAAAGTTAATCAGTGTTTTGACTGCCAAAATGTAATTTTGCATAATTTTGCTTTACCATTCAATTCTATAAAATAGAAGTCCCATTGAATTGAAAGGGGATTATTGCAGGTAAGTGGGTATAAAACTACACACTTAAGGAAACTAACCAATAGCAATCCAAACAGCAGAGTCCTATACAATTTCTGCAAGATGTTCAGATATATTTAAAGTCTGACGAATCTTATCAGTTGGGAATGAAACAGACATTCAAGCAGAGCATTGCTTTATTTTCTGTTCAAGGATGCTGCCAAACTTTGTCCAAATCTTTGCTTGCATCCTCAGTTGTACACATGTGCATTGCAAATTTTGGGCTAAAGTTCATGAGACAATATACTGTGATACTAGGATGCATCTACACCAGGTATGGACAAACCTTCTAACTTGGGGGCCACATGCTAGCACTCCCTGCTAAGAGGACTGGCTGCCCAGTGATAGAAGGAAGGAAAGAAGGGAAGGAGGAAGGAAAGATAGAAGGAAGGAAGGGTGGAAGGGAAGGATGGAAGGAGAAAGAAGGAGAGAAGGAGAGAGGGAGAAAGGGAGGGAGGTAAGGAGGAAGGAAAGAGAGAAGGGAGGAAGGACAATAGTGTGGAAGGAAAGGATGGAAGGAAGGGAAGGATGAAGAAAAGAGAGAAAGAAGGAAGGATGAAAGGGTGGAAGGAAATGGAGGAAGGGAGAAAGAGGGAGGAAGGAAAGTAAGGGAGGGAGGAAAGAGAGAAGGAAGGAAGAAAAAAGGAGAAAGAGGAAGGTAAGAGGGATGAAAGGGTGAAAGGGAAGGAATGATGGAAGGAGAAAGAGGGAGGTAAGGGAGGGAGGGAAAGAGGAAGGTGAGAAGGAAGGAAAGATATAAGGGAGGGAAATAAGAATAAAATGGTGGAAAGGTGGGTGGGTGGAAGGAAGGAAGAGAAGGAAGAAGGATAGAGAGAAGGAAGGACAAAAGGGTGGAAGGGAATGGAGGGAGGGAGAAAGGGAGGGAAGGGAGAAGGAAGGAAGGAGAAAGAGGGAAGGAGGGAGGAAAGAGGGAAGGAAGGAAGGGTAAAAGGGAAGGAAGGACGGAGCGAGAAAGAGGGAAGTGAGGAAGGAAGGGAGGGAAGGAGGAAGGAAAGAGAAGGAAGGAAGGAAGGATATGATGATGAGAGAGAGGAGAGCCTGAGAAAAGAGCCCAAGAAGCCTCATCTGGTCCCCGGGCTTGGGTTTGCTCATACCTGATCTACACTGCACTTTGACACCATTTCTATTGCCATGCCTCAATTTTATGGAATTGCAGTTTGGTGGTGTGGTTTGGGGATGCACCTGCACTATTTGGCAGAGGAGCACTGAACCATAGGACTGAGTAACATGGCAGTGTAAAGTTTATAATTCTGCAGTGTAGATGTACCCACAGCTTCAAGACTCCACCAAGCTATAAACCTGAGCTTGTTGGGCCAGTCGTTCTTTCAGCTTAACGTATTTTACAGTGTGTTCATGAGGATGAAATGGAAGAATTCGGGAAGAAGGTACACAGCCTACTCAAAATCTTTGGTAGAGAAGCAAATAAGTGGGTGTATATAAATGAGTAAATAAATCCTTGCAAACAATTGAAGGATGATTTGCAGATGTATTTGTTGGGAGGGGAGACCAGCTTCTTTCTGATCCAAAGTTCTTAGTTGGCATAACAAAAGAATAGTACAAAGTGACCTAAAAGATAATGATAGATCTTTTATGTTGTGGTTTTAAGATCCCTATACTGTGTTGACTGCCTTGATTTTCCATTCGACTACATCTTGGATGTCAATCAGTGACTATCCATACAGAAACCACCCATCACAATAAATAATACGAGTGCCTACTTTTACAATAGTGTATATGTTTCATTATCTCCCTCCACTTTTGTTTGCCTCTGACTAAGAACTGAACTGGACATTCTTTTGATCAGTGAAAAAAACAGTGGGAAAGAGAACAACATATTTTTTACACATTCACACAGACCACATTCACACATCATCATCATCAACAACAACACAGTGAAATTTTCTTTTTAAAAAATTCTGACATGACTTCCTTTTTGCCACAGTGTATGAGGCCTCAATTACAGTCTTTCAATCAAAAGTCACTCCAAATCCTTTCCAAACATGTACATATGCTATCCTCCATCTGTGGTGTAGCCTTCCTCAAAAGTACTGTTATATTTCAAGTGATCAGTGATAATTCCTTGGTATTGGATCAATATGTAACTAAAAATTATTTTCCCATAAGGAATATGGAAATGAGATGGCAAAACAGCCAAAAGAGGCTTTGTTTGGGCTGAATTTTTGGAGATGTTAAAAGTTTTTGAAAGAGATTTCATGACACAGACAACTCCATTATGCTTAAATTCTGTCTACGTGCCAGAGCCATTTGCAAGAAAACCACTTCATAAACACTGTTGAAGACATAGCACACTGCTTCTGACAGATGGCTCTGAGATAGACATTAAAATGGTCACTTTAACAGTTTATATTGGATTTGGTCACTGTTTTTGTGTTTAGAGTGGAAATAGGAAAGCAAATGGGAAAAAGTACCGAAGATTGAAATTCTCAGACTAGGAAGCTGTGATATCAATTTGAACATGTTTTGTGAATCACTTTATTTCCCTCTTCATAACATTTAGTAAAGTATTATGGGAAGAATGCAAATAAAATATGTTTATGAGCACCAGACCGTTAACTGGTGCCATTTTGGAATGAATGGAACACACCAGAGACAAAGCTTGTAAATGTTTTTAACTGTTGTGTTTCCAGGCTTACTTTAGAGTTGCATTCTTCTGGAATGTAAATGATGCTGGTGAATTGTTCTGCAGGATGGCTGCAGGTTTGGTTTTTATTAGACCCAATTTTCTAGTGGAAGTGTCAGGTTTGACTCGAGTTTTGTTACAACCATGGTGGTATCTGTTCCAGAATATAGGTCAAATGTGTACAGCTTGATCTTCAAAGGCCCCGTTAACAGCTTGGCTGTTTGCCTTGGAACTGAGAGAAAGGCAGTGTATAAATGAATGAATAAATGAATAAATATAGGAAAGAAGGAGAGAAAGAAAGAAAGAAAGAAAGAAAGAAAGAAAGAAAGAAAGAAAGAAAGAAAGAAAGAAAGAAAGAAAGAAAGAAAGAAAGAAAGAAAGAAAGAAAGAAAGATTATGCAATGGTCTTGTGATAGATCAACAGAACTATATTCCTCCCAGAAATATTCCATTAGAACATGATTAGAAATTAAGTGACTCTCCAAAGCAGTGTATAAATTCATAGAATCATAGAATCAAAGAGTTGGAAGGGACCTCATGAGCCATCCAGTCCAACCCCCTGCCAAGAAGCAGGAATATTGCATTCAAATCACCCCTGACAGATGGCCATCCAGCCTCTGTTTAAAAGCTCCAAAGAAGGAGCCTCCACTACACTCCGGGGCAGAGAGTTCCACTGCTGAACAGTTCTCACAGTCAGGAAGTTCTTCCTCATGTTCAGATGGAATCTCCTTTCTTGTAGTTTGAAGCCATTGTTTCGTCCTAGTCTCCAGGGAAGCAGAAAACAAGCTTGCTCCCTCCTCCCTGTGGCTTCCTCTCACATATTTATACATAGCTATCATATCTCCTCTCAGCCTTCTCTTCTTCAGGCTAAACATGCCCAGCTCCTTAAGCCACCTCATAGGGCTTGTTCTCCAGACCCTTGATCATTTTAGTCGCCCTCCTCTGGACACATTCCAGCTTGTCAATATCTCTCTTCAATTGTGGTGCCCAGAATTGGACACAATATTCCAGGTGTGGTCTAACCAAGGCAGAATAGAGGGGTAGCATTACTTCCCTAGATCTAGACACTATGCTCCTATTGATGCAGGCCAAAATCCCATTGGCTTTTTTGCCATCACATCACATTGTTGGCTCATGTTTAACTTGTTGTCCGATGATCATGCCTTCTAGCCCTTCATCTAAGTCATTAATAAAGATTTTGAACAGGACCGGGCCCAGGACGGAACCCTGCGGCACTCCACTTGTCACAATTCAAGAAAGAAAGAAAGATTATTGAATGGTTTGGTGACATCTCAACAGAACTATATTCCTCCTAGAAATATTTCATTAGAACAAGATTTATAACTAAATTACTCTTCAGATGCTGTTGAAGTGTTGGTCCCAGCACTCCTCACTACTAACTTGCTAGCTAAGGCTGATGGGAGTTGCAGTTCAGCAACATCTAGAGGACCATACAATGTCCACCCCTTCTTTGTTGCTTTAAGGACACAGCTTTAAATAACTATTGATTGCTAGGAAACCAAAATATCAAGCAAGCACTTGGAGTCTTTGTATGACATTGTGGATTTTTGAAAAAGGAGGAAGACAGGAAAAAATAAATCCATTGCTATGCTATGTTATAATATGAATTCATATTCTTATAATAGGATTAATCTATAATATTCTTTCTGTATTTGCTAGAGTAGTACACCAGCATAGAAATCCCCTTCCATGAGTAAATTTTACCTTCTTTCATTTTTTTTTCTTAGTTCAAAAGTCAGGCTTCCACAGCAGCTATAGTGACTATGTGGAATTTGAATGGTGGTGAGAGTGAATCAGCCAGATGGAAGGTATCAGGTTGGAAAAGGCTGTGCTCAGTGTCAGCTGGCAGTTCCATGCTAGTTGTGATATATATCTACTCTGGGCTTTGGACAGAATTGAAAAGGAACTTGAATACCTCCTTTAAATTTCAGACCAAAACTTGGAACAGATTCCTCATCCCATTGATATAGAAGGGTGTCCCATGCCCACTGTACAATTTTTTTAAATTGTGTCAGAAGTGGATTGAGAATATACTGCAAGTTGCTTCTGGTGTGAGAGAATTGGCCATTTGCAAAGATGTTGCCCAGGGAATGCCCAGATGTGTTACCATCCTGTAGGAGGCTTCTCTCATGTCCTCACATGGGAAGCTGGGGCTGACAGATGGGAGCTCACTCCCGTCTCGCGGATTCGAACCACCGACCTTCAGGTCTTCAGGTCAGCAGTTCAGCCAGCACAAAGGTTTAACCCATTGCACCACCGCAGCTCCATGTTTGGTATTCCCCTTAATAGCTGCATGTTTGGAATTATCCCTATTTATTCTCCTTTCTTTTCTTTTTTTTACAAAGCTCCTTTTTTAAAAGAAATATTATCCTGCTCAGTAATTACAAAGTTGTTTCCCACTCACTGTTCTGGATCAAGAGGTGTTCTTATGACATTTGAGTTCTCAGTTCAATCACTCCCCAAAATGTGTTTATTACTGTTCACCTCCATAACTGGAAAATCCTTCATAGGTTTCATAGATTGCTACTCATGATGCTTTGAGTGAGAGGTAATATCAGCCTGACAGTTTCCAGTCCTCACAAAGACATGTGGTCAGTATCATTTATCAATGCAGACAGCTTGGAAAAATCACCTTAGTTTCTCTGGATACTGTGGTTATGATTCTTTAGAACAAAACATTGTGTGTGTGTGCCTTCAAGTTGCCTGTTGACTTGTAGTGACCACATTAGGGTATTTTTAAGGGAAGGAATACTCAAGAGATAGTTTTGCCCATTTGTTCCTGTAAAATATACCCTAAAGCACTAATGCTTGGTAAAGTGAGAGGCAGTAGGAGAAGAGGAAGGCCACATTACAGGTGAAGAGACTCAGTCAAGGACACCACAGTCTTGAATTTGCAAGAGCTAAACAGGACTGTTAATAACAGTGTTTTGGAGGTCTCCCATGCATTGAGTTACCATATGTTGAAGCTGATTTGATGGCATTTAACAGTTGTCAGCACACATCTTAACCCTTTTAATTATTAAAAATTATTCTAATTGCTTTACATGAAACTTATATATAATGGCCATGATCCAATGTAGAGTTGGCTCATATCACTGATAAAATCTGAGTCATAATAAGAATTTGTACCTTCCTGAGGCAAGTTTCTTCTATCTTACCTCACCTAGTCCTTTACAGTTGCTTTTGCTGCTGTACCAGTTGTGGCTGTGCTTCATTTTCCTGGCCTTCATGCCTCCCATTGCTGTGCTTTAAAGAGTTTTAAACCATTAAGGTTTAAATTTTAAATGCGAACATTTAAACTTGATTGCTTTAAAATTTAAACAGTACTTGCCGCAGGCAGCATCATGAAACGTAAAGAGCTTTTTCACAATACTCATAGTACCAAGCAGCCTTTAAGAAAGCACCAATGCCTTTAAGATATAGAAAATCCTTTGTTTTTTCTTGCACTACATTTCATGACTTAAACAAAAACATGTTCATTAAAAAGTGCCTGTTTCAGATGGCTAATGACTTATTTGATCCATTGTTGGATGTTCTAAACCTGCAATTACATTTTAATTGACTGAACTTTACAATTAATTTATGAGCGCTTGTATGGTTACTGATAAATATTTGTGCTTATCTGAGTTATTCTGTGGTCAATGATCCATGCTGTAAAAATATTAAGTCAAAAAAGTAACATTTACATCTGTTAGGTTACCTTTCTTTTTCCCATGTGAGGTTTTTCCCTGTGTGATTTTCTTTTTCTTTAAATGATCAGGTTGATATGCATTTCATGAAAAAGATCCCTCCTGGAGCTGAGGCTTCAAACATTTTGGTCGGTGAGCTTGAATTCCTGGAACGTGCAGTAGTGGCTTTTGTTAGGTTGTCTCCTGCCGTACTGCTTTCGGGACTGGCAGAGGTTCCAATCCCGACAAGGTAATTTGTAGCCCAGGCTAAGAAAGAAATGAAAGGTGCCAATGTTGATTCCAATTCTGTGCTCAAATGAAAAAGGAGAAAGTTTGGAGCTTCAATAGGAGATATATCAAATTTGTGATAGTGTAGTTTATCATTTGTGGGCACCAACTTACCATTTTATTGGACAATGTATTACCTTTGCTGCTACAGAGGCTGAAAGGATTTGTGGCCATTGGGGCAAAATTTCCCTGATTTACTGCTTCACACAAAAAGTCTTCACAATGGGAGATAAGATTTAAAGCACACTCTACAAGATGATCTCTACGTATGTGTCCGCACTGCACATTTGTCACATTTTGATGTGATTTTGTGGTTCTGGCCTACAGAGTCCCAGGATTTACAGTTTGGTTAAGGATTTAGGAATTCCCTGCCAGAGGGTTCTAATCCTGTTATTCGGAGAGGCCCATTAGAGTTATCTAACAGATAAATCCCAGTACCCTACCAAACTATAAATCCCAAGATTGCCTAGGAAGAAATTGTGGAATTTAAAGTGCCATCAAAGGGCTATAACAAGTCCGTTTTTCAAGTCGCTCCTGACATGAAAAAAAAAAAAGGTCAGTGTGAATACCTTCCAAATGTGCATAAAAGGTTTCAGTACTTGTATTGTCCCAAAACTTGGTTTGTGAGGCTTGGGTGTGGTGTCTTCTCCTTTCTTGATTTCTCTTTGTAATAAAGCTGGGAGCAAAGCTCAGGCTGATATTCTTCCTTCCATGCTTTTGCCCCAAATGTGCAAAGGTTAAGAGCCAGACCAGAAGCTCTCATGGCTATTTTGATGTTCCTTTCACTAGAAAAAAGGCATTCATTCATATGAGGGCAGTCTTTATGTTGTCCCACAAAGTGAAAAGGGCGGGTGCATTGACATTTTTAAAAAATCTAGTCCCTGCTTGTTGCATTACTTTGGAATTGAACCTTTATTACCTCCCCGAAATGACTTCTCCCTGGTATGAATTGTCCCTCCTTCTCTTTCCCACCCTTAAATGAGAACAGCAGAACTTGACTGTTTCCAGTTGTGGGAGGATGTAAAATGTGGAGACAAAACTATAGATCAGACATGGTCATTTTGAAAAAATAAATAATGTAGCCATTTTAAGAAAAACATATTTTATTGAAGGTCCCCAAGTTTTAAAATAACAATGTAAAATAAATCATCATTTCTTGCAGATTGATTGATTGGTTCAAGTGCTAGAGTTCTTTGAAATAAATGTCCTCTGAATAGTTTTGTTTTCTCTTCATTTGTAGATTTTTATTCATTCTCCTGGGACCTCTAGGAAAAGGCCAACAGTACCATGAGATTGGCAGGTCAATTGGAACATTAATGACAGATGAGGTATTTATCGGTTAACGGTAGTTGGTTCAGATTGATTCAACCCATCTTGTGTTAAGATTTATTTTTACCTCCTGGTGTAGTTGAAAAGCTTACACTTTAAATAGCACATGGTGTGTTTTGTTTAAATCAAAACTTGAGACCATTTGAAAGGTAAAAAGCAAACACAAACCAAAGAGAACTTCCTTATACTTAATCACATTTTCCACAATGGGTTACACTGAAAACTTGCAGTGAAATAGGTTGTTTGCTTCATTGAAAACCAACCAACCATTTGTTTATGAATTTCTTTTATGCTTTCACCTTTTAAAACAGTGTTCTCAACTTTTAGTCTTCTAGATATTTCATAGCTTCATTTTCCTCAATCCTTGACTTTTGGTACTGTTTGCTGGGGCTTCTGGGAGCCGGAATCCAAAGGATCAGCCAAAGGTTGAAAACTGCTACAATATCTGATGGATTTTATGTTTTCTCTCATAGGTGTTTCATGATGTTGCATACAAAGCTAAAGATCGGAATGACTTGCTTGCTGGAATCGATGAGTTTCTTGATCAGGTGACTGTTCTTCCTCCTGGAGAGTGGGACCCAGCAATTCGTATAGAACCTCCCAAAAACATTCCTTCCCAGGTGTGTGTAAAATTCACATTACTCAATTATAGGTGGATCTACTTAAATGGCAATGATTTAAAACTACAGAATTGTTTATTAACTTGTAGTAATAGTGGCAGACAACTTTTCTACTTGTTGCCCATGTTTTGAAAAATTGTTCTCTTGTTGTCTACATTTTGTGAAAAATGTTAATCCTGCACAAACAGTTAATCAGAATTGTAGTTCACAGAATGGACAGTTCCATAATCTTTCCAGTTGTTATATGATAGCAATGAAAGTTTATACTTGGAAAATCAAAGCGATTTGGTTCCAATAGTGATTTCCCATTGAACCTGTCTTGATAACCCTTTTGAATTCATTCTCATCCCAACCATCTTGAGTCTCCACAAGGCGATAGGGCGGGATACAAATAAAGTTATTGTTATTGTTATTGTTGTTATTATTATTATGTATAGCAGAGAATGTGCAAAATGATGGTTGACAATGTTAGAGGCAGTGACAATCCAACAACGTATAAAATAATGTAGAATCTCTCTTATCCAAGGTGCCATATGTAACATGGCTCTTTTGATATTGTTTTCTGACTTCAAAAATATGAACATAACCATGGGGATATGTTCCCAGCTGGACTGTGGTTACCTGAAACCATGGATATGACTGTTGTCATTAAATGTCACTTGGTGTTATATGGTCTCTAAAATACATACCTATTACAAGTCTGTCTGTGGCATTTTGCTGCAGCTTCAAAACATTTTCAAGGGCAGTCCCACTCAGAGCACATTATAGTAGTCTATTTGGAGATAAAACATGAACCACTATGACTAGTTCTATCTTCTCCAAGAAAACAGCAGCTAGCACACCAACAGAATTAGAGCAAAGATGCTCCTAGCCACTACATCAAACTCACATTCCAGAACAAGAACTGGATTTAAGAGCTTTGCTTCTCTGAAAGCCCAAGCCACCAACCTGATATTTCAGAGAGAATGCAACCCCATCCAGAAATGGCTGTGATTTCAATCCCAGATTGGTTTTTCTACTGACCAGCAGCATTTCCATCTTTTCTAAATTAAGCCTGAATCTATTCACTTGCATTAAGGCATGTATAGCCTCCAGATAGCAGTTCAGGAGAGATACAGCTCGATATCATCAGCATACTGGTCAAACCTAACCTTAAGGCTCTGGATGACCTTTTTCTGTGGCTTTATGTAGATGCTAAAAAGCGTTGAGGACAGCATTGTAGAATTCCATGGGCAAATGGCCAAAAGACTGAACAACAGTTCCTCAGTACAACCCCCTGGAATTATTGAGCCAAGAGAAAACAGAACAATTGCAAGGCAATACCCCTAAGTTCCATATCATTCAAACAACCCAAAAGGACACTATGGTTGATGGTATCTAATGGCACAGGAAGGTCCAAGAGCACAAACAGGGACACATTCTCCCTCTCTAGTTTCTGGTGTAAGTTATCCACCAAGGTGACCGAGGCTGTTTATGTCCCATGACTAGAACTTGGGATGGATTGGAATGGATCCAGACAATATGTTCCATCCAAGAAAGCCTGGAATTGAGTTGCCACCATTCACTATAAGGCCTTACTTAGAAAGGGGATATTAGAGATGGACCAATAATTACCTAGAGATGTGAGGCCCAATGAAGATTTTATCAATAAAGATCTTACGGTTGCTTCTTTTAGAGATGTTGGAGCATAGCCTTCTTTCAAAGAAGCATTTGCAACCTCTACCACCCAGTTGGTCTGTCCTCTTCTGTAGCTTTAATTAGTCAGGATGAGTTTAACACAGACGTGGACAAACTTCTGGCTTCCAGCTGTTTTGGACTTTAACTCTCACAATTCCAAACAACCTACCAGCTGTCAGGAAATGTGGGAGTTGAAGTCCAAAACACCTGGAGGGCCGAAGTTTGCTCATGCCTGGTTTAAAAACAAGTGTTTGAACTCACCTGTCCAAGCAACTTGTCTATATCATGATGTTGAACAACCATAAAAAATTGGCAAATACATACATTAGTTGCATCCTGAGACTATACCTTCAATATGGAGTCAATGTAGCAAGATACTTTAATAATAAGTTCAATGTGGCAAGATTTTTTAAAAAAACATACAATGTTTTTTCATTGGTAGCTCCATAGTCACTAAATCAACATGTCCAGTGGGTAATTACTACAGAAAAACAGTTCTATCAATAGTTGGATTGCGGCTTCCATGCCAGTGAGTTATCTTGGGACTGTTTTTAAACATTAGAGGGGCTCTCAAAGACCACTGAACCTATTTTGTGCTAGGAATCAGCACTATCAGTAAACAGATCCCACACTGCTGCTAGTAATTGTGAATTGGGGTGGATACCATAGTAATTAAACATTGCAATGTTTTACTAAAAACCCATTTATGGTATTTTAATGTGACAATCTATATAAATAAAAATGTAATGTTCATTTGTGGGATTAACATAACTCAAAAACCACTGGATGAATTGACACCAAATTTAGACACAATGACGTATCATTCCAACGAGTAACCATTACTCATAAAACACTGAAAAACATAGCAGAAGACACTTAAAAAGCAAAAAAAACCCCCAAAACCATTACAACGCATGCGCAAAATCACACACACACACATATATGCAAACATACATATATACACATATACACAAATATACACACACACAAAGCACATATACACACTGGGCCAGAGCAACACATGGCAGGGGACAGCTAGTGCTTCATAATTCTTCCATCTCCAGTTGTGCCTCACTTGGAGTTCATTGTTATCTGAAACAAGTTTTTCCATAAAGTCATGCCACCATTAATTTGGTTGATACAGAGTTGGATCCCATTCTTGATGACATTTAATTAATAATGATGATGTTGATGCATTAAGTGTTTTTATGCCCCAATTCCACTTCATGCCCTATCTTGTAGGGTTCGTGTCACTTCATGGATCTTCTAACTAAATGCTTCTGACCTAACATGGAAATAGGAGAGGGGTGAGATGGCAGTGGATCTGAGTGAAAATGCTGAGTTTGGAAAGGGTAGTTCATTGGACCATATCTCTGGGGATTCAGGGAGTTCTAGTCCAAAATAGTAATGTTTCCAAATATTGGTAACATGTGAAAGGGTCCTACTGCTTACTGCCTTGTGCTCAACCCCCAAACTCTGACTCAGTTCTAGCACAGCAGTTGCTATATGCTAAGAACCAATGAGGAGCTGTGGAGGATGAAAGCCATGACTCAGAGCGTGTGTGCACTTCCCACATAAACATCTGTGTTATTCTATGGAATTATGTGGTTTCTAGCATGGAATTCTCTGATTTAACAGCATGTCTTTCTATGGTAATGAATTCTAAGTCCCTCTACAAATTACAAATCCCAGGTTTATATATATAGGATGGGGCCATGGCAGTTATAGAGGGATGACACTGCTATGACTGTGTAGTACAGATACATTCTGCAATCCTTCTTTTAAAAATCTAGTTGCCACTTTTTCTAGCCAAGCTGCCAAGTGTTAACAAAGACTGGTGCCTTTCATGTGGCAGGGCTAGTGCTAAAGCTGAGAGGGGTGTTATTAATTGATAAGCAGGCTCCTCCTGTCCTTGCTGTTTTCAAGCTGCTCCTGTCAAATTGTGGATGGCCTATCCAGATGCCAACAGTCCTTACAGATTAAACACTCTGTTGTGTGATTTCTATCATTTGTGAAGAAAAACTGTAAAAGAGTTCTTGAAGCATGAACAACCTGCTAACTGACCTTAGCCGTTTCCTTTCCAGGCAGTGATTTGAAATGGGATGGAGGGAGGGAAGGAAAGCGCAGAAATAATATCTCTTTATTCTGTTTAGGAAAAGCGTAAGATTCCCAGTGTGCCGAATGGAACTGCTGCCCACGGAGACCCAGAGCCACTTGGAGGACACTCAGGGCCAGAATTGCAACGTACTGGAAAGTTAGTAACAAATAGGAATGGAGATTATGGTTGAGTGCTTGAACATCAGGGGAAAATGAGGAAGTGTCTGAAAAACCCCAACAAAAATAATCCTCATCAAGTCCTTTTCTCAGATTTAAGGACTACTTCCCCACCATAGACTCACATATTTTCCCCAAGCTGGGGTCACAGAAGACACTTAGCAGAACACAGATGATGAGGCTAGAGCTCCCCAATCCCCACTTGCCATTTTCCTCCATGCCAGGTTGGCGGGCAGTTAGATGAACAGTGAGAAGTCAGAAAATGATCATGGAAGGCTATATCCGCTGGTCCTCATTTGACTTCCTTATCATCCTCCCAATTCAAGAAGAATGGGGAGTCAGGAAGACATTGTGGACATCTTTAGCCTGTAGTCTGCAGCTCCCCAGGCTGCATGGGAATGTGCTGGAGGGGTGATCTCCTCCCCTGCTGCCAGAGGCTTTCTCCCCCCTGCAAGACTGCATTGAAAATTTGTGGCAATTAATATTTTAACACAGCACATACCCCATAACAACATAATAACAAACAAGTTTTCATATACAATATTTTGTGTTGCACATGATACAGATTATTTGATGATTGGAATTCATCTTATTATGCTTGTCTGAATTACTGCCTTTGCAGAGATGCATGGAAAGAGCTCTTTCTTGAAATGAAGTCTAACCCACCCATGACAAACAAGTGTGTTCAGAAATAATCTTCCACCACTGAAGTGGAAGACTTGCTCCTTCCATGTGCACGAGTGCTTGTGCCATATACAAACAAATCAGCACACTCATTATGGACCCTTGACACTTGATGCCAGCATGTAGCCATGATTATACTAGTGTGAATTACAGCAGTAATGGAAAATATGAGCCTTTCTGGGTGTTGTTGGACTTCTAATCCCAGGATTATTGGCAAGGGCCTACGGAGGTTGGACTTTCAACAACATTTGCTTGTTCCCCACTCTGATGTATAGCTAGGCAGTTAGATGGCACATGACCAATGAGTGGCAAGATGGAGAATGGGGGGTGGAATGGAGTCTTATTCTTCCAGATGTATTGATATTTTTATCCAAGCCAGGTGAAACCTTAGGGTGAAAAAAACAATTCAAAGTGGGTCCTTCTGCTTGTCCTTGAATTATACATCTGCTTGTCCTTGAATTATACTGATCTGAAAAAGGCACCATCATGCCATTTATCTGTTACTTCTGTGGCAACATGGCCATTGCATGGGCTGGTTAAAATATTTTAAGATGGGTGGCCACAAAATCTTTGTATCTAGATGTGACTGGTTTACAAGAATTTACTAAGGACCTCATCACACTAGAGAATGAATACACTTGAAATCCGGTTTCTGCCTCCTGCAGAATTCTCAGGTTTGTGGTTTAGGGAGGTTTCTTTAACAGCCCCACTAAACTACAAACCCCAGAATTCTGCAGGAGGCAGAAACTGTAATTAAAGTGGATTCATTCTCTAGTGTGATGAGGTCCTTAAACTGATTAGAGATCAACATACAAAGAAAACAATCCCACGCCCTTTCTGCTTTCTTTCTTTCATATTTTTTTAAGCCATGGTTTGTTTATAATCAACAAAAAAGGTAAAAGGAAAGGACATATATGTCCAAGGTTAATTTTCAAGCCATTGCACCTTCTTGCAGTGAAACATCTACAAAGAAAGTCCATCAAGGTTATTACCAGTGTGCTGTCGCATGCTAGGCCTGTGCATAAGACTGTAGACAGGACATAAATTCTGTGTGCCCAACGGGATGCCAGGGCTGCCTCAGATTAAAGGCCCTTGGCTTTCCTTAAAACAGAGTCTTTAGATTGCTTAAAGGTTCAACAAAGTTCTTTATTGATGAAAACAAATAGGTACTTTAAAGCTTTCTTAACAGCCTATTGGCTCTCTCTCAATCTTGTCCACGGGGAACAGGCACTATCTTCATAACTGTATACTAACTAATGGGGAAATCCTTCTAATCTGGGCAGTCTGTACTTGCCTCTGTTGGCGTGGAGCCCCTTCACCCGGTACCAACTGCGTCTGGCTTTCGCGAGCGACCCTTACCAAGCAGAGCTTTGTAGACTTCCAGGGGAAAAAGAATTCAGGTTTCCGTGATGGCTGGCTGAAGTGCTGTGGAACCGGATTCCCTCAGCAAAGGAGCTGTAATGCTGTATGATCCTCAGCCAAGCTGTAGGGCTGTATAACCCTGGCCAAGCTGTAGAAGACGAAGCTTTCTACAGGAGCTCTTGGTATTATGTCCTGCATGGAAAGCTGCTCTGTGTGGACTGATCCAAAAAGGCTCCTATTCCCTCCAAAAACCCAAAAGGGGGGCGGGACCAGGGAACCTAACTATAATTGACAGGTGGCTTGCCTTATGATTGCAGCCAAAAGAAGCCACCTATCTGCAGAGTCCCTGAAACTTGGGACTATAACAAACATTAAATGCAAAGCAAACAAAATTGGAGCTCCTGGTACAGCTGTACCTGCACGACCAGAGAAGGGGACACCTCAAAGCAAATAGTATAATGTAAGGCCAGATTTTTTACATGGAACACATCTATTACATGGACTGCTGTAGAACTAATTAAAGGACAGGAAGGGACAGCAATGTATGAGGATGTTAGGATCATTTTCAGAAAGGGTTCATCTGCTTCATGTCCTTTAAAAATAAAAATTAATGCCAGTAGTTAAATTAAATGGTTATTTAAAATGTGCACATGATGGGAACAGTAAGTTTTATTCCATTGCAAAATTAAGGGGCAAGTTTTGGTTAAAAGTCTTTCTCTTTTTTAATTCTTGTAGGCTTTTTGGGGGCTTAATTTTAGATATCAAGAGGAAAGCACCATTCTTTTTGAGTGACTTCACGGACGCATTCAGTTTGCAGTGTCTCGCATCATTTTTGTTTCTCTACTGTGCGTGTATGTCTCCTGTTATCACGTTTGGCGGTCTTCTGGGAGAAGCGACGGAAGGTCGTATAGTATGTGTTGTTCTTTAATCAGCATTCGTATTTTGCATATTTTGTATCATTTTGATAGATGATTGGCATTTTCTAAGCATGAATGATTAATTGAAAACAGGAAACACATTTGGAATGATCTATTTGTTAAAACAAAACAAATCCCCCTCCTCAAAGTTACAAGAGACCTTTTGCTAAGAAATGATTGCTCTAACTTTCTCATTATGCATTTTTCCCACTCAGAGTGCAATAGAATCTCTATTTGGTGCGTCTATGACTGGGATAGCCTACTCACTTTTTGGTGGGCAGCCACTTACCATCTTGGGCAGCACAGGACCAGTCCTGGTATTTGAAAAGATATTGTTTAAATTTTGCAAGTAAGTGCCATGCTTGTTTGTTTTTAATGTGAGCTTTTCAGTATTTCTGTCTTGCTTATCCTTTAGCCTAAAAATAACTCAAGTTTTAAAACAGGTCAATTTTGTATGATGTGCAGCATTCTAAATAATTTTTTATGTTTTCTTTTTGTTGTCAAAATTATACATACTTTTGCTTCTTTCTACTGTTACATAGGACCAGGAATTATTCAGTACATTATGTTTTTGGTGCTCTGGCTGGCCACAAGGCACTGTCCCCATGTCTTCCCTAAATTCTTGTAAATTTTGAAGTTTATTCTATGAGCAGTTTTGTTTGATTTAAATGTCATGCTTCAAAATTTATCCTCCACTACCTTGGAGACCCTGCAATGCCCAGGCTACTTGAGAAAGGCATTTTTGGGGGAAAGTCTGGGAATATCTCTGGATGCAGGGTGAACTACAACTCCCATGTGGGCAGGTCATCCACCCCCAAACCTCTCAAGTGTGTAATGCCATAGGAAAGGTAAGAAAGGGTTAAGTGAGAGGTAGTGGGTGGGATCATGCAAATTTGGAGAGTGAAAGGAATCCTATGATGTCAATTCTGGAGAAAAAACAGAACATCTAGGATGAAATGGTCCCTGAATGTAAACATTCCTTGGGTTGTTGGTGTTTGGGGAGGACATTGGCAGGGGTTGGGCTACATATCCATGGTGCTCACCATAACCTGCAATGTCAGTTGAGGGAGTGCCTTTGGAGGCTTCTCAGCACTTGGAACTATAGCCTGTTCGTGGAAGCGGGAGGCTATCTACATTATTACTTTCATTATGTGTTTAGATTTCGGGAATCCTGGTGCTTTTGGTCAGAGTAAGATGAGGTCAATTTGCTTTGGCAGAGATTTTTTCTGGACAGATTGCGACTACTTTGAAGGGGATATTCTTGAAGGCAGGAGAGTGCTGTTGGTACATGCAATTCTTAATTTGAATATATTCCCCTGAGTGTAATTAATTAATTTGGTAATTCCATGAATCTGTTTACAATGCAGTCTATGGCAAGTATAGGTGTGTGCAAGAAGGAAACAGCAGAGAAGGCATTAGCAGATCTGGTCAGTTTCTAAGCACCAAATACAACTTACAGCTTTATTACTGAAACAAAGTTTATGGCAGTGGTTCTCAACCTGTGGGTCTCCAGGTATTTTGATCTACAACTCTCAGAAATCCCACCCAGCTGTTAGGATTTCTGGGAGTTGAAGGTGAAAACATCTGGGAACCACTGGTTTATGGCATCCCTTTGATTATATATATCATATCCAGCTTTTTGTCTTGTTTTGCTTCCCTGAAACAGCTGTTCTTTTCCATTCTTTTGGTTTTGGATCCATGTATTTTTAGGAAATGATACTGAAGCATTTGACTATTGCATTATTTTCTTTCCTCCACATGTTTATAGAGATTATGGGCTATCTTACCTTTCTTTGAGAGCAAGTATTGGCTTATGGACGGCAATTCTGTGCCTCATTCTGGTTGCAACTGATGCAAGTTCCCTCGTCTGCTACATTACTCGGTTTACGGAAGAAGCTTTTGCATCCCTTATCTGCATCATTTTCATTTATGAGGCCTTAGAGAAACTCTTTCATCTCAGTGAGACATATCCAATCAACATGCATAATGATTTGCAGCTACTGACACAATACTCGTAAGTACAATGGCATTGGTTTGTTATGGTGGATTTCCTTTGTAAAGGACAATGTTTCTGCTGTAAGAAATGTCAGAGGAATGCCTAGTGGGAAGACAACTTTCATCTGTACATGCTGCATTGCCCATTCGTCTATCCGTAGTTACTACACAAATAACTAATGCCATCGAAATCAAAATATTATTGCATGATTGTGGTCTTAACAGCAAGCATTCATACATATTGGATTTGAATAAAGAACCAGAGCAGATGGAGTTTTTTTTCTCTCACCCCCTTTCAGAAAACAATGTGTTTTATTTTTAGATCAATATTTTCTGACCAAAATTGCACTTTTATTTTCAAATACAGTGAGGCTGAGAGAGAAGAAGGTAAGCTGTAGAACCACATTGACTCACTTTCTGTGTAATATAAGGACAAAACCCAAGTTCTACTGGCTGAGACCAAAGGTCCATTTTCCCTAGTTCAGTATCTTTAGTTCACAATGGAAACTACTTAGGTCTCACCATTGATTTCAGTGGGACCTAAGATCAACAAACTTGACACTAGGCTTGAATCTAGACTAAAGGATGATCAGTGTTCAGTGAACTGTGCACCATAGTGCAGTTTTGATGCAATGGATAGGGCTGCAAGCTGAGATTGCTTTCAGATACTTTTGTTTTCTCCAATTCCAGAGCAAGTAGCAAGAGGCAATAAAGTGGTAAGATATCCACAAGAGTTGTTATTCAAGGGTTAATAATAATGATGATAATAATAATAATACTTTATTTATATACCACCCTATCTCCCCAAGAGGACTCAGGGCAGTTTCCAACATAAGGCAAAACATTCAATTGCCAGAAAGGAAAACCATGCAAACAAATTAAAATAAACATCATAAAACATCAACATAGAATCCTGCTAAAACAAGCATAAAAATTTTAAAACCAGTTTCATCATAACTCCAAGCAGTGCTTAGTGGTACAATGGGTTAAACCCTTGTGCTGGCAGGACTGAAGACCTACAGGTCGGAGGTTCAAATCTGGGAGAGTGTGGATGAGCTCCCTCTGTCAGCTCCAGCTCCCCATGTGGGGACATGAGGGAAGCCTCCCACAAAGATGGTAAAACATCAAACACTCATGAATCCCCTGGGCAACATCCTTGCAGATGGCCATTTCTCTCACACCAGAAGTGACTTGCAGTTTCTCAAGTTGCTCCTGACATGAAAAAGAAAATATAAAACTCCATCAGATGGGTTCGAATTACCAATGGCCAGAATTACAAAATGACTATGGCCAACTATGAATGGGCTGGGCAAGGGCTAGTGCAGTTATCACATGGAAAAAGAGCAGTATACAACCATTCAAAATAAATAGTACTTTGAGATTAAATTGATAGGAAATGTAAGTGCTCAGGTGTGTGTGTGTGTTGTTTTATTGTTGAATACCCTGAGAGTCACAGCTGGATAAAGTGTGCTGATCTATCAAAAAGTATGTTTCTGTTGACGTAAAAACACAAACATTCTCATGGGCAAAGATGAGAATCCATTCCAGCCGGAGGCACACAATGGTCAGCATCTCCTCTGCAACAGAGAAGGGTCAGAAAAACACTCTCCAGCAAAAAAAATCCCTCTAGATATACAGTTTTGGTGAATGCTTTCAACTCAGATGAACTCTTGGCTCTCGGGGAGTTCTGTTTCCTGAAATAGCAGCAGAAGGAACGAGGTCGTCACCACCTCCACTTGTTCCCTGAGCAAATCAGAATAAGTTAGCCCAGCAAAGTCATTGTATTTGAATAGCTATGTGTAATTAATTCTAGAGAAAATATACATATTTGTGCACATGCAGTGTGGTCCATTTTCTATGATCATAAGAGAAAGGGAAAATCATGCACATGTCCTATTAGATTTTTATTGCCACTGCAATTATGCTGGTTTCAAATACATGAGGATGAAATTCTCACAGTCCAATTATAAGGAACCCAAGAAGGTTTCTTTATACCACCTCAGATAACCCATGCTATTTGCCACTCTCCAGTATCTCATGCAAGGGTTTTGTCATCTCATGTTTTCTGAAAAAGCTCCCTGGAAATGCCGGGGCCTTTAAGAAGCAAATAATGTGCTTACTCTCAGCTGTGGTTGCATCCAAATAGCTTGTCTTACCTGTGCCTATTTTTATCTATGGTGGTGACTCCCTTGTACAAAACAACCCTGTTTTTGCATCTTAAGCAAAGCAGTGTCCAATTTTCAGACATTTCTAGTGCAGAATCAAAACCAGACACAATGAAGGCTTTGAGCCTAAACAGTGAATTTATAAATATGTTTTATTTCCTTTGTGGAAATTTGTTCTTGGTTCCACATCACAAACTCTTTGGAAGCTCTTCATAATTCTCAAAGTGGTGCTTTTAGTCGTGTGTGTATGTATGCATAATAGCTTGCATGTATGTAGTCTTCTGGAAAATTGCAACAATTTCTACAATTCTTGGAATGTATATATGCCAAAATTCAGCTTTATAATTATGTTATGGAAGCTTTCTTCATTGTCCAACTTCCAAAACCATACAAAGAGACAGAAATATATGAATGGGTGTATATCTGATGGCATATTATAATTTGATCATAACATTGAAGTAAAATGTTATTTGCGATGCTATCAGTTACAGTTGGCACAAACTATAGCCATGCCTTCAGAATTCCAGTATAAGACCAAATCTTAGCTATTGCACAATCCACATCTAAAACCCTTTATACAGGTTTACTGCATATTAATAGATTTAAGCTAGAATCTTAAATGGATTTACTTGGGGGATGAGGGTACAATCCTAATTAGCCAACATATCTAAAGATCGGGTATGCCAACGCTAGGCCAGCTGAAGCTATGCAGAATCCAAATCTTTTTAAAACCTAGCATGTTGGAGATTATATAGAGCTAACCAGGCCCAGCCAGCCATCTTTGAATCATGTCTTGGTCAAGGTGTTCCTTCTAGCTTCCATTGGTTTGGCCCTGTAGGGAAAAGAAGAGCAACAATTAGACACAAGACTATAATGTTTGGACCCAGACTGGACTATGACAAGTTGCACTCTCTCAGCTTAAGAGATAGGAAAAGTGAAACCCCCTTTGAATAAATCCTCCCAGGAAAACTCCATGAAAAGTTCACCCCTGGGTTATCATAAATCAGAAATGACTTGAAGGCACTTGGTAACTGGGCTAGGACAATGGCTATGATTCGTATTATAATATTATAATAGTTATAAGCAATGAATGTGATTTCCCCCTTCTTTCCCCACACTACCTTTTTATTTGTGTGTCATGTCTTAAATGTAAATTGTCAGCTTGAGGGCAAGAACTGTCTTACAACAGATCTTGTCAGCTGCCCTAGGGGCCTTGTTGCTTTTTACCTGTCAACTTAGGGTTTTCTTAGGCAAGGAGTACTCAGAGGAGGTTTTACCAGTGCCTTCATCTAAAATATAGCCTACAGCATCTGGTATTTATTAGCTTTCTCCCATCCAGTACTAACCAGGGCTAACCCTACTTTGCTTCCAAAATCAGACAGGATCTGGTGCCTTAATGCCATTTAGGCATTAAAAGCTATATATTTATTGAAATTAATAAATAGGCTTGCCTTGCTCCAAATCTTTGCCATTTTGTTCTTCTTTCTCCCACCCATCCCCTTTCAATCCCTTGTTTGGCTTCCACTAGCAGACTTTAGACTGCAGAAGATCTACCACCTTCCTTGGTATGTTTGGTGAGAATGCACAAGTGGGCCTCCTCAGTGGCTACTCAAAGGATTTTGAACTTCTTCCTAGGGAGGATAAGAAGAAGTTCTTTGCTGTCCTATCATTGTCTAGTGACAATCTTAGGCACTGACTTCCAAGACTTCTTATAGGCATGGGTGTGAAACTTGTGGCCCTCCAGCTGCTTGGGCCCCCAACTCTCTGAAACCATAGCCAGCTTGTCTAATGATATTGACTTATGGGAACTGAAGTCCAAAACACCTGGAGGGTCACAAGCATTTGTAAGCCACATCTCAGTAGAAGGTGACATACAACTGAAATAGCAGCAGCAATAGCAACAATAATAAAATTAGGATTGGGTTGTTGTAGGTTTTTTTGGGCTGTCTGGCCATGGTCTAGAGGCATTGTCTCCTGACGTTTCGCCTGCACTTTGGCAAGCATCCTCAGAGGTAGTGAGACCTCTACAACAACCCAGTGATTCCGGCCATGAAAGCCTTCGACAAAATTAGGATTGTTCTGTAAACCATAAAGAACAGTGAATAATACGATACTCTATATGTTAACATCATAGACTGCATTTTCCAAAGAAAAGGAAGGCCTGGAGACTGAAATCAAAGATGAAATTATAATATAGTAGGGCCTCCATTTTTGTGGTGGTTATAGATGCAGAATCCCTTCAAAAGTGGGAGAAGAACTAAAGACATGAATGTTCCACTGTGCCTTTGATTAAATGGTTCCCCAGGAAATTTCAGCCCCCAACTATGACCTAAAATGTAGTTCCTGCATTTTTCTGCTGTTTCTTGCTCAGAGTTATAATGTTCCACCCTATATTCCCCTTCATCCCTAGTTTTGTCATCTGGCTTTATCCATTAGCCCTATCCTCGCAACTGATTGTATCAGCCCGCCTACCCGAGATGAGAAACTGTTACTATTTCAGGCCACTTGTTGTTGCTCATTGGTTTTTATATTGTGTTATATATCTGGTTGTTTTATATTGTTTTATGATGTTGTTATTGAATTTTAATGTGCTATTTTAATTATGTTGTTGGGCTTGTCCCCATGTAACTCACCCCGAATCTCTTTGGGGAGATGGAGGCGGGGTACAAAAATAAAGTTATTATATTATTATTATAAAACTGAAAATAAAAATGTGGAATTTTTCAAACCAAAAAGAATAATTCTTGAGGAATCTTTAGTCCTTCCACCATAATTCTATAATCAGCTTCTGCTGGAAGGTCTCTCATTAATCTGTTCTTTCTAGGAATCTCTAGATCTCCCAGCATGACTTATG